ATTGCTAAGAATATACTCACTGATTGTTACCACGAAATAACAAAGTTTTCAAAATTATAATAATTTTCTGTTTTACATCTCACGTATTCTATTTAACGTTTTGCAACAGTCGCGTAATTATTTAATTAATTATTAATAAAATTAATGTATAATTAATTAGTAATAAAAGGAATGTAATTGTCATTTTTTAAAATATTATGACAAATATTGAAATCTTATTTCAGATAATTATATTCAGGTTGTAATCGAAAAATTATTATTTCATTTAATTAAGAATTTTTTACTATTATTTTACTTTATTTATTAAAATTCAAAAATTTTCCAAATCCAATAAAATAATTTTAACTTCTTGATGAAATATCATTGTATAAAGAGAAATCGGATACGTGTTTTCTTCAACTAAATATTCAAGAGTTTCGAAGATGTTATTTTTTTTTTTAATTTGTCAATTTTAATATGAAATGCTTGATATCAAAATGCTAAATGATAAAATTACAGATAAAATTATTTATATTTTCTAGCTTTTAAAAAAAGTATCTCTTTTTAATTCACAACTATTTGAAAACTAACATTGCCATGTATTCGGAAAGTATCCTGTACCGATGGCTGGTGGCAATGCCTCACTGTCCTATACAATACTGCTCTCACGAACTACTTTTCCCTCCCGCATTCCCGAATATATCTTCCTCACGTGCAATCTTTAAAAATTCCCATTACTGCTTGGAGTACAATCCTCGTTGTATCGTCTCTACCCATTGCGCCCTGTCAGAGTTCATAGTGGTGCCGGCACTCGAGCAACGGTCTCCTTCGTCTCAGGGGTATTTTATCGTGTCGCCAGTAATAAGGTTTCCACGTGTAAGAAACCACCGAGGTGTTCCGCGATATAGGTGGTCGAGGAGCGGTACAGAAAGAGACAAAGGGGGCGGCGAGCGCGGCGATGGGGCGAAAGCGGCGGGGTAGCGAGAAAACGAAACAGGCGGGACGCGGTGGAGTGTGCGCTCCTCCACCAGGCAGCCAGAGAATCCAATCGCAATAGAGTTAAGTGTTCGAGAGTAAAACCTTGCCGAGGCACGACCTCGATTACTTGCCGAGGATTTGTTACGGCCACCTTTTCTGCCACCTTTTCTGCCACTTTCTAGCGGGCAACCTCTCCGCTTCTTCGGCACCATAGAATCGTCCCAGAGTCTTTCTTTAGCAACGAGCCTTCCTGAAAGGCAAGCAACGTAACACTAAAGGGAGTAAAAGAACGCTTTGTTCCCCGCGCCGTTGCCAAGCTTTTTTCCGCTATCAAACACAAGGGACTTCCGATTGGCCGAGTTTAGTCGACCACCAATTCTCGACGTTGCCGTCGGATAACGTGTCGTAAAACACAAATTTTTTTCATTCGCCCTGTATGCCACGCCTTTATTGGCACTCGTTCCCATCCGTTTTTGAACGAATTGTTTGCGTTTCAATATCAAAGAAGCCTTTTGCGATCGAAAATTCAAGAGATACCCGTTTGATAAATAATCAGACAATATTCATTGAGATTTGCTTTATCTAATTTTATATTGATGTGTACTGATAAAAATCAATGATATCTTAATGGTGAAATTTGCCCCTGTTTTCTTAAGAGATTTAAAATGTCAATTATTAATTTACAGAGATACGAGCATGAATCTATTGTTGATATTTGAAGAATTAATAAGCTTTGGAATTTGGTTTTCGATCGGTTAATCTAGTTGTTAATTTTATTAATTTTACTTAATGAAAAAAAATGAAAATTTATAATTATCGAATATTAAATCAATATAGTTTTAACATGTTAATAGAATAGAAATAAAAATAGTAAATACAAAGATTAATAAAAGCATCGTTTTAAATTAAAGAATTCTGAAAAGACTGAAGAATTATTCTGTGTATCAACTATTAAAACTGATTAGAACTTTATAATCATAAAAATAGATTGTAAATTTAGTCAAATTGATAGAGAAGTAATATAAATAAAATAATATGTAGTGTTTATTATTTTTGAAATAATCAAAATATTATCTGCTGCCATATAATATATGTTTACTCGTGACTGACGCGGCACATGATTTGTTTGTGCTTAAAAAATAATGATTTTATATCGCTGGCATTAAAAATTGTTTTAATTATAATAGCAAATTATATTGCTAATAAATATAATAATATAACATAATTTCTATATTACTGCGATACAGTAGAATTATAATATTAGTTATTAAATTCGTAAACGCTTAGAAAAATAAAAAATTATTTATCATAAAAGACAAATAAGTTTCAAAAACAGTTAATAATTGTATACATTGTACCTGAAACAAAATTTTTCAAATTAAATTACAAATATAATTAAATTAAATTAATTAAATTATTGATTTGAAAGCAAAAAAGATTGTATAATATGTGAAGCTTTATGCAAAATTACTTGGAAATATTACAGATATTTTGCTAGTATTCACAAATTATTGGCCAATATTATAAACTATAATATAGCTCATAATATAGCTGCTTTTCGCAGCATCTTGCAATTCTGTCAAGATTCCAAAATGCGTCTTTATATACACGTTTTGCATCCGTTATTGCGTACTGGTTGGTAAAGCTACGATCGGAGTACCGGGATTACTCGCGGGATTCTGCCCGGCGGCAAAAGCCGCCTTAATGCAATTCCGAACACATTTTCTTAGTTGGTTCTTCTTGTTTTACTGTGAAAATCCTCGAGGCCGTTATGTTGGTAACGATAGAACCGGCACGGCAGGCTGTTACCGCCACATGCCGCCATAATATCGGACAAAAGTTTTCTGGCTAACAGGAGAAAATAATTTGATATGACTCGTCGTTGTGCAGATGGAACTTCGAACGAAACGAAGATCCTCCAAAGTACAATTATGAAGCCGATGGTACCACTATTGCCAATTAAACATAGTGTTGCGATACAGAAGGTTCCAAAATGTATTTTTTTTTAAATTCATTTAACAACTGTCTTTATGACACAAAAACTAATTTTTATAAAAATTATAATATAATGATGTTATTTACAATTTACAGTAAAAATTTCAAATTTAAAAAGAGTAAAAATTTTGAACAAAGCTAAAATAAAAAACTTAAAGTGATATTTTTGGAAGTTATTCGCTTAAAATATATAATTTTTTTCTAATATTAATATTGATAGTATTTTAACAGTAAACCAAGGAAATAAAAGCATTTATGTCATTCAAATTGTTATATTAAATTATATTATCTATTTCTTCAAGTGATAATAAATTAAATTT